TTTGCTTCTATCTTGTATATCAAAATTATATACCGAGCCTCTGGATCACACAGAATAGGTTTTTTTACCTTCAGAGGAGGCCACTATAACCCTAGAGAAGTGACTATCCAGCATCCTATTATTTTTTTTTTTTTTTAACCAATGGGTCTCCTGTAGCAAACATATTTCCACTTTTTCTTTTTGATGCATTTTGATCAGAGAGGATCTTTTATTTGGTGAATTTAAACCTTGGGTATTAATTGACACTAACTTAACCATGAGAAATACATACATCTAATCTCCATCTCCCATGCATTCGTCTATGAGCAAGAAGTTCACAAAAGACATACATATAAACACATATATGAAGAACATAATACGTTCTTCTATAATCTCTAACACCACAGGCCGCCCATTTCCCCTACCCATAAAGGCCTAGGATGTTAGAGATAAATTATTGTCTAAGCAATAAATAAGGTTCTTATCTTGAACCTCGGCATTTGCCGCGTATTTTTTTTAAATTCATATTGCTCCCGAAAAAAATAATAATTATTATTTCCTTAACCATGTTTAATTATCTCTACTCCTATCTTATTTCCTTTTTCTCTACTGTTGCTCTATTACTCATCCTTGTGATATTCCTTAACCTCCTTTTATCTCTTTGCGTATAAATTTCTATGTAATAGTTAGTGTTCTTGTATATTTTCTCCTTAGGACCATAGCACCATCTGATTAAAATAGAGAGTGGTTTGGATTTAAAATCTCCAACACCTAATTATCTCAATATTTTGGTACCAATATTTCAAAAGTGAATCAAGAGTACAGGTTTTAGAGAATTAAGACACATTAACCCCAGTACGCCCTAAAGATTAGCAGCACCCTCAGCCACATACATACCTACTGCGGCGATCCTGATTGGGGAGACTGACAAACTGGGCAGTCACACTGCAGCCAATCCAGCTCTTCAGGGCCAAGTAATCGACATGCCATTGCGATCACATGATCGGATCAGCAGTGAACAGCACTGCCTGCAGGGGAACTGCCTGGGTGGTCAGGTGGATCCCCCGAGTTAGAATTAATTTAAAGAAAACACATTTGTGGGGAAAATACATATTAATATCAAAATACACTTAGAAGGGAATTATATATACCATTAATAATAATAATATATCCTATTATTGTTGTTATGTATTATATAATATTTGACCCAGTAACTTTCCAAAATCCCATAAAACCTGTACATATGGGGCACATTTGTACCAGAGGGACATCACAGCATACAAATACGTGCATTTTATTGATATTGTATTTGATGTGAAATGGAAGCCATATTTTTCCTGAACACAAATATATGTAATAAGTGTGGGATATGTAAAAAGGTGTGGGTGCACTTATTATGAAGGTAAATTATAGTTGAACATACATATAGCACAAATTGTAGGTTTGTTTTGGTCAGAACGTGTGCAATTGCCTCCATCCTTAAGATGTTAATTACAGCATAATGCTTTATTACTAGGCAACCCAACAGGGGATTTCCTTGCTTCTACTGATGTCAAGAAACTGACCAGCTGTATATGCAGTCTATAATCATTGTTTTAATTTTTCCTTTTCATTTGTTGTTTCTCTGGGGGGTTTTTCCCTCCAGTTTCCTCTAAGAGCTGAGTGACTGATGGCATCCCACCTTTAGGACCCCGAACTATAGGAGGGTGAGAAAGAATGTGGTACTTGGCACACTATGTGTGGTCACTTCCCACAATTTAAAGCTTGGCACTACATTGATTCATCATATGGCTTGCACATTTATTTACCGTGCAGAGAGATAAAAAAAGAGAAGTTGGACAAGGTTGTAAAGGTTGTCATCCACCTATCCAGAGATAAAATGTCTATGTTTACATTTATGTTTTATATATACCTCCCAACTTGTATGAGATCAGGACAGTTGGACGGGCCCTGAGGTGGTGTCAACAATGTCATAAATCACATCACTGTTGATGCTTATAATGGGCAGGCCTGCCCACTACAGGGGCTTCTCTGGCCAGCCCCCAACCTACAGGACCTTGCAGAGTGTGCTGGTGAAATGCTCTCAGCATTGTCTTAGTATGTATTCACAGTGAGAATGCCACTAATGAAACATAGAAAGTGACGGTAAATAAGAACCGTTTGGCTCATCAAGTCTACCCAATTTTCTAAATACTTTCATTAGTCCTTGGCCTTATCTTATAGCTAGGATAGTTGTATGCCTATAACTCACATGCTTAAACTCCTTCATTGTGTTAACTTCTACCACTTCAGCTGGAAGGCTATTCCATACATCCACTACCCTCTCAGTTAAGTAATACTTCCTGATATTATTTCTAAACCTTTGCCCCTCTAATTTAAGACTATGTCCTCTTGTTGTGGTAGTTTTTCTTCTTTTACATATAGTCTCCTCCTTTACTGTGTTGATTCCATTCATGTATTTAAATGTTTCTGTCATATCACCCCTGTCTCGTCTTTCCTCCAAGTTATACATGTTAAGTTCCTCTAACCTTTCCTGGTAAGTTTTATCCTGAAATCCATGAACCCGTTTAGTAGCCCTTCTCTGAACTCTCTCCAAAGTATCAATATCTTTTTGGAGATACGGTCTCCAGTACTGCGTACAATACTCCAAGTGAGGTCTCACCAGTGTTCTGTACAATGGCATGAGCACTTCTCTCTTTCTACTGATAATACCTCCCCTTATACAACCATTCATTCTTCTTGCATTTCCTGCTGCTCTATTACATTGTCTGCCTACTTTTAAGTCATCTGAAATAATCACCCTTAAATCCCTTTCTTCGGATGTTGAGGTTAGGACTCTATCAAATATTCTGCACTCTGCCCTTGTGTTTTTACATCGAAGATGCATTATCTTGCACTTAGCCACATTAAATGTCAGTTGCCACAACTGTGACCATTTTTCAAGTTTACCTAAATCATTTACAAAGAAATTATCACAAATATAAAATTGCTGGTGCAGTGAAAAGTGTATCCCACAACACTTAGAGATAAATAATAAAACAATAGAATAAATACTGCACCAGTCAACAAAATGACAATTTGGGATCAATCTAAAAAACACAAATAACATAACATAGTGCAAAATGTGCTGCTCTCCTCAAGGATATCGTTTTAGCATTTTTAGGCACCCTCCTGCATATTATATAGAGCCTGGGACGGCTCTAAAGCCTGTGAGTTTTACTCTACATAAGGGGTCTATCATTATATATATACATTTTGCACTATGTTATGTTATTTGAGTTTTTTAGATTGATCCCGAATTATCATTTCTTTGACTGGTGCAGTATTTATTCTATTGTTTTATTACCTAAATCATTTGCCATTTGGCTTAACCCTCATTGAACATCAACCCTGTTACATATCTTGGTATCATCAGCAAAAAAATATACCTTACCATCAAGACCTTCTGCAATAATACTAATAAAAATATTAAAGAGAATGGGTCTAAGTACAGATCCCTGAGGTACCCCACTGGTGACAAGCCCATGCTTCAAATATGCTCCATTGACTACAACCCTCTGTTGCCTGTCACTCAGCCACTGCCTAACCCATTTAACAATATTGGAATCCAGGCTTAAAGATTGCAGTTTATTGATGAGCCTTCTATGTGGAACAGTGTCAAAAGCCATACTGAAATCTTGGTATGCAATGTCTACTGCACCACCCTGATCTATTATTTTAGTTACCCAATCAAAAAAATCAATCAGATTAGTTTGGCATGACCTCCCGGAAGTAAACCCATATTGTCTCTGATCTTAAAATCCATGTGATTTTAAATGTCCATCAAGCCTATCCTTTAACATGGTTTCTATTACTTTCTCCACTACTGATGTAAGGCTTACTGGATTATAGTAGCTCCCTACTACCTTCCTTGTGAATGGGCACAGCATTGCTAATTTCCAATCTTCTGGGACTACCCAGCCCTGATAGCTCTGCTCCCTCGCACGCCATTTGCTGATGTAGTCATATTTCGGCTCCCGACATCAGTAGACAGCCCGCGCGGCGCGAGGGAGCAGATTGGAGAGAACACAGCTCCCTCGCCATGTCTGACTGGAAGACAGCTGCCCGCCTCACCAAAGCACCACTGGACCCGAGGGACAGGTCCACGCCAGCTCTCCAGGTAGGGAGGCTGGGTGGACATTTGTAAATTTAAAAAAATATGAATAATTTGTGTGTTTCTGTGAGTGTGTGTGTGTCTGAGAGTGTCTGAGTATGTGTGTGTCTGTGTGTGCACGCGTTTACATATGCATAAGAGTGTATCATTTATTTATTTGGGGGGGATGGATCTTGGGTGAGTTCCCACACTTTTTTCCCCAGGACTTGACCCCTGATAACGCCATTACACTCTGAAAGTCCTGAAAATGAATTATATAGAGCCACAGACTGTGCAATATGCCTTTTATCCACAACTCTAAGTCTACCAGATCTCACAGAAATCCATCTGCCATTCCTAGGACGTCTCTGCGGCAGTGACTTTGCAACAGTCCCAGCCTGAGTTTGTTTAACAGATAATTTACAAATCTCAGGCTTCAAAAATGCACAACAACTATTACACTATATTAAGACTGTCATTTTATTGAGGTGAGCAGGGCCGTCTTTAACGCGGGGCAAATGGGGCAGTTGCCCCGGGCCCAGTTTCTCTTGGGGGGCCCGAGGCACCTGCCCCGTGGGCCCCGCTGACCCCGGCGGGTGGCCGGTCGGGCAGGAAGGCGGGCGCGCGAGGGAGCACTCACTGCTTCCTCTTCAGCTCCCTCGCGCACCGCAATGATACCGGAGCCGGAAGATGACGTCATCTTCCGGCGATATCCCTACTGGGCGAGGGAGCTGAAGAGGAAGCAGTGAGTGCTCCCTCGCGCGCCCGCCTTCCTGCCCGACCGGCCACCCGCCCAGGAGCCCAGCAGCACCACTGGACCCCAGGGAATCCCCCCAGCACTCCAAAAGGTAAGGAGGCTGGGGGGATTACATTTTTTTAAAAAAATGTGTTTGTGTGTTAGTGTATGTATGTGTGTGTTAGTGTATGTGTGTGTTAGTGTGTGTGTTTGTGTGTGTGTGTGTGTGTGTTAGTGTTTGTGTTTGTGTGTTAGTGTGTGTGTTAGTGTGTGTTAGTGTATGTGTTTGTGTGTGTGTGTCAGTATGTCTGTCTGTGTGTCAGTATATATGTGTGTGTATATCTGTGTGTCAGTATGTGTATGTGTCAGTATGTCTGTCAGTGCGTCAGTATGTCTGTTAGTGCATGTGTATGCATGTGTCAGTATATCTGTCTGTGTGCCAGTATGTCTGTGTGTGTGTGTGTCAGTATATCAGTCTGTGTGTGCAGTGTATGTGCCTGTGTGTGTGTGTCAGTATTTCTCAGTGTATGTGGGTGTCAGTATATCTGTCAGTGTGTGGGTGTCAGTATTTCTGTCAGTGTATGTGTGTCAGTATGTTGATCAGTGTATGTGTCTGTGTGTGTGTGTCAGTATGTCGGTATATGTGTCTGTGTGTCAGTATGTCGGTATATGTGTCTGTGTGTCAGTATGTCTGTATATGTGCCTGTGTCAGTATGTCTGTCAGTACGTCTACCAGTGTATGTGTCTGTGTGTGTGTCAATATATGTACCTGTGTCAGTGTGTCTGTCAGTGTATGTGCCTGTTTATCTGTATGTAGTCAGTGTATGTATCTGTGTATCTGCTTGTGCGTCAGAGTGTGTACCTGTGCATCTGAGCCGCAACTTTAAATACAAATACACCCCTCCATTCAAACTTCAACACTACATATAAAACACACTCCTGCATTGAAACGTCAACACTACATACAAGCACACTCCTACATTCAAAACAAACACTACACATAAATGCACACTTGCATTCAAACTCCAGTACCACATACAAACACATTCACACAAACATACTCCATACAAACACATGCTTACATTCAAACATACTAACATGGCTCAGTGCTAAATACAACCCTGCAAGCATGGGAAATTGGTAGAGTCCCAGCTGTCAAAGCATTGTTGGAGTTGCACGACAGATGGGGTTCTACCTTTAGTCCAACCTTGCAATTGGGGGTCCCAATAAAATTCATTCTACTTTAGTACCGCCACTGCGTTGGGATGGATGCCGTGATTGCATACCAGGGAGTGAGGGGCGAGAGCGGCAGGGCACAGGGGGCCCAAGCAAACACTTGCCCAGGGTCCATTCGTTATTAAAGACGGCCCTGGAGGTGAGTAATTTGAATCAAACAAATAAAAACTGAATTTTTTTCTCTTAACTCCTGTATACCTCAGATTACTTCTAGTTTATCTCCAGAATATCTCCAAGCACACACTTTGAAGCAGCACTGAGAGGCAGCAACCAAGTTAAATGTGCTAACAGTTCCCTGATGTCTCTGAATGAAAGACACCAGGGAACATAATTGAGATGACGGGGAGAACCCCAAAATTAGGACTGTGGAGGGGCTTGATGTAATATTTACTCCATAATGCATTTGGGGCCCTCTTAAACTCAGGGCAAGACAGTATATACATGTTTCAGTCTGTCCATGAGTAATGAGAATTACTCTACCGGGAAACAGCTGATATTTGCAGTTAATATATTTTAATTCAGTATTTGACAATAATGATATTTTAGATAGATAGTGTATCTTCATCCAGTAATCTCACTTCCACAAGTAATCTCGGATTGGCAGTTAATTGAAAGTTTCACTTTAATGGTCACCATCCAACCTACTGTGCCATGAGAACTACAAATAGACATATGAAGGAATAAAGCTTAATTTTTACATATGTAATATATTATATGAAAGTACTGTATATTGTACTTATGAATGTAATGTTAAAATTTTTTACAATATATTGATAATGCTCCGCCCACATGACCTCAATATGGCGCCAAATTCAAACAACTTAATTGCAATTAGTCCCCTATATAAACCATGAGATGCCAGGTTGATTATTCTATCTATTATATTGTCTACTTGAAGAAGTCTTAAAGGCGAAATGCGTTGTAGATATATTTTACTTATTTATACCAATAAAGGATTTTTTTAATATCTTCTCAATTTGGCATCCTGATTTACCATCTTAAAGAGGACTAAAGAATCCTAGGTGGGCATAATACCACCAGCGCCCTACTCATCGAGCAGTAAGCCTGCTCAAACAAATGTGAGTACATCTCTTATACTGTTAATTATTCTAAGGTTTTACTTCTACAGTGAGCACTATATTTGCCATTTTTTATTTTCCCGGTTTGAAACCTCTATCATTGCAAAAAATTAAAGAATTTACCTACCACATACATTCCAATTCACGCTATACACACCAGAGCTGAATATAGCTCTGGTAAATGTGAGTTAAACTGACTTTACATAGATATTAAAATATATCCTATACTATACTGTACCATTGGAGTTCTCTTTTTTATGATTTACATGTACTTCTGGAATCAGAAGCACTCCACCTCCAAGAATCTCTGATTTTATCCAGTCTGGCTGTTCCCTTCAAGACGTTTTATGACTTTTTACATACCATTGTATTTGGACTACACTTGTTTTATTATATATATTACTTCTGTTATTTTTATCTTTGGTATATTCCATTGTATTACGGCGCATCCTTCTTTCCTTTTCTTACTTTCTATTGCATATTGTGGGGTATTAAGAAGGAACCCCTTTCCGCTTGTAGGTGTGCTGCCTTTTAAGTATATTATTTTCTGTGACCATATCCAGCGCTGATCCTTCTGTGATAATTATCTCTTAGTGACTGTGTTTCTGAATCCAACCTCCCAACTCTGGAATTTGTGTTGGAGTGCGTAACGTTGGCAGGGTATGTGATGTGATGAAATGTAAGGCCAAAGTAGTTACAATTCTCTAACTCAGCTATTCTACCAGTTGGGCTACTTTGAAATTAAATTAGAAATATCACTTTAAATTCTCACTTTAGTGAATAACTATGTTCGTGGCCTGGTCCAGGCCTGAAGAACATTGGAATTGCAGATAATCAGCCTTTGCACAAACTAGAAAACTCCCTGCACCATTCCTGCCTCTGCTTGGTTCTGGCAGTACTGAGCAGTTGCCTGCAATTCTATTCCACACAGGCACGGTGTAAGGCTGCAGCCCACAACCTTTGGATGCTAGCCCTCTCATGGGAAAAATGCTGAATTTAAAATCACATGTGTTATAAAAGAGACATGCAGCTAAAGAGGTCTGGAGATTCAGCCTTTGGTCTTTTGGTTTATAATGATGTACCTGGACTTGTCCTAGAATACACACTTCACTATTATATATAGATCATATAGATTATGCATAGATCATGTAAAAATCATCATAATAATATGCAATATTTGGACACCCACGTCGCATAGCTCACAATTATTTACAATTATTTCTTTAGTGCATTGCAAACCAATAGGTTTTGAATTTCTCTATGCCAGGAACCAATCACTGCCTTTTGCAAGAGCAGCGCCCAAGTGAGTTGCATTACATGCATTAATATCAACACTCCAAACATAAAGAGTACAAACATGCATCTTAAAGACACATGCATCTACGTCCTGCCTATGGCATGGTTTTTATTTATTAATAAAACTCATCAACCAGGGCCATACCTATAACAGTTCAGAGAAGGTCCACCCGTCCCAAGTTGCGCTAGGAAAGGAGGAACCCAAAAGGTCTCTTGACATTTTTTCTTGAATCATAGAAATAATTGGCCAGTTATATAAATGTGCATAGCGTTTGGGATAGTGTGCAAGTAACTCTTTTCTTTTCTGGTTTTGATTTTTATTGCATGTATTGGGGCTGATGTGAAATATAGATATTGCTGTCACCCAGGAGTAGTGGGAGTTTGAGCGAAGGGTTTTATTTTGTATGTTCATATTTGCTTTTTTATCACACAGCATGTTACAATGCTGCCACTCACCCAATGTGTTCCCTATTAAGGGTTAATAAGTCTTTGGGGGTTTAGAAAATTACCCATCTCTACTCTTACCCTACTCTTCGTTATCCTTCCTTCTCCTCCCTACCTTTTTATTTTTACTTATCTCCATCATCCTCTTTTTTCCCTTTTTCCCTCTTCTTAAGCTTAAAACTTTCCTTCTCCTTACACCAAGGTGGAAAAGTGTGCTGCATGGAGTTTTACTATCCTGCTAGCTGGAATCTCTTAAGCCACCTTGGGAAGCTAATTTACTGTTTGGAATTTCACAAGAATAAAGAAAATAAGAGGCACAATATCAATAAACATGCAGAATAGTGAATGCTATGAGTATTACTTATTCTCTGTGAGGCAATCTTAAATGTCCATCTGTAACGAGATCAAATATTCTCTGATCTCAAAAATACATAATTGGGCACTCACAATCTTCAGAGCCAAATATAGCATGCTCCAGCTATAATGGCATATAGTTATAATTAGCACTTCTGGATTGTACTCCACTTTGCTGGTAGCTAGATAAGGGATATAGGAGGTAATGAAAATAAAGTTTCCTTTTTTTTTTCCTTTTCCTTCTCTCTTTTCTGTTGATGGTTTGGTGGAAGAGAGCAGGCCACTGAATATTTATGGAGTGAGATAAAAATAAAGTTTACTGCACTGCGGTTTGTTCTGCATCATCTAGCTCAAGGGTGGGCAACCGGGGAGATGGGGGAGAGAGAAAGAAAGAGAGCAAGAGAGAGGGGGAGGGGATGAATTATTTGTGGCAATATAGAGGAGGAACGGTAAAAAACAACCTATGCAGAACTGTGCAATTAGAGAAATTAAAGGATTAGAGAGAATCTAAAAACTAAAGAAACGTTTAAATCAAAAAAAGATGTTAAACTGTTGTTTCACCAGAATAGCACAGGTTCAACTAGTTAAGAAAATAATTTCTGAGCTGATGTTCTATTTGAACAGCTGCCTATCTCTAAGGGAACTTTCCCATACCCTACGGGCGTTGCTGTAAAGGCCATCATTGTACAGAACACAAGTTTACTATACAGCCAAAGGAAAAGCCTTTTTATGTGTGTTTTCTTAGTATAATTTTTCCCATATTATGCTGCTTTAGATTTTCTCTCAAATTCTGTTTTTTAGATTTTTTGCAAAAAACTCCTTCAGGGTTATTCGAAAGTGACAATTTAAAGGACCACTATAGGCATCCAGACCACTTCAGCTTAATGAAGTGGTCTGGGTGCCAGGTCCACCTAGGATTAACCCTTTCTGCTGTAAACATAGCAGTTTCTCTGAAACTGCTATGTTTACTTTAGGGTTAATCCAGCCTCTAGTGGCTGTCTCATTGACAGCCGTT